CAGAATTAGTTACGGAAGGCTTTGATGAAGAACAAATTGGCAACAATTGGAACTGCAGAATCAGATGAATAAAGCATTTCTCTATGAGATCTCAAAAATTTTAGTTAGTAAGAAAATTAGTAATTCCAGTAAGTTCTTTGAAACCTGAACTTGTGGAGATTGAAAATGATAATTTTGAGCAAGAGAACGAAGGCATATCCGATGACAAAGAATCAGAGGATGAATAAAGAAATCAAAAACAATTTAAGAAAAGGAAAACGTGATGAAATGAAGAAGAAAAAATCCTCTATTGTAGATGACAAATTCTTCAAGTTGCAAGAACTGAACGAGTACTTGACTAAAGAAGAGAAAAAAGAAAACAGATGAAAATGATACTGAATCTGATGATGAATCGGTAGATCTCTTTAACGACATTTCCGAAGAAGAAATGAAGATAATACTGAAGGAAAATATAAAATGCGGACTTTTTCGACAATCCTGAGAGCGAAAATGAGCAACAATTAAAGAAAAACATTCAGATAATAACGACATTAATGATCTCTGAGGAGGAAAAATCAGAGAGCGAAAATGAAGAATGGACCGCAATGGATGATGAAGAGGATGAAAATGAACAAAATATTAAAGATTGAGATTCAATCTACTAACGACTCAGACGAGACGGATAGTTTTAGAAAATAAAACAAATCATAGCAAGAAAATTAACACAAGGATGAAGAAATGGAAAGAATATGGACCCCATCATCTACTTTAGAAGCTCGTAAGGAGAGATTGTTGATGAGGATTAAAGAGCTAGAAGAGAAATCATCAGTGAGAAGCCCTGGCAATTCAAGGGAGAAGTGGGTAGTTCAACTCGACCGCAAATTCTGTACTGGAAGAATTTTAGAAGTCGATGTAAATACAAAGCCACCTCCTGCGATTACTGAAGAAACTACTCTCAACTGGAAGACATAATCAAGCAACGGATCAAAGATAAACTTGGGACGATGTCGAGAAGAAGTTCAAGCCAGTCGAAACCCGTTGAATAAGAAACAGTTAGTATTAGATCAAGAAAAGCAAGGAGAGCTTGTCACAAATTATGAGAAGTCATACCTGCAGCAGAAGCAAGCATTAGATCCCGAGAATAATGAAAAGAAAGAGGAGGTGCCACAGTTGCACAATGAAATTCGACAAACGATGCGTTCTCTAATGTCGAATTGGATGCGTTATCTAATTATCATATACTCCCCCAATTGGTAAGATTTATCATATTTTTGCGTAAAGAAATCAAACTCTATAAATATATTGTGCATAAAGTACTTAGAAAAAAATATTTATTATAAAATAGAAATTTCTAAATAGAATATAAATAGAAGTTATGTAATTTATGTATGAATCATTTTCTATTCTGGCCACAAACATTCTTAATAGTTTTTATGATTATAATAATATTCTGTCCTTTAATTTTTTTTCAGGCTAAACCCGAAATTAAAATTATTAGCAATGTGCCTGCAATTAGAATGGAAGAAGTGCACCAACCGCAACTAGTGATGCTACTTTATTAGCGCCTGAGGAAATTAAAAGTATGTATCATATATTTATATGTATAACATGTCATTGATTTGTGATTCGTATTCTTTATCGTATCTATAATATTCATTCTAGCTAAACCACGTGGGGATATTATCGGCAAATCAGAAAGAACGAAAACCGATATGAAACGTGATAGAAGGCGAAAGAAATTGAGGCAACGAACTAAACAGCAAGCAGTAGAAAAGAAAGAGAAACTAAAGGCACTAAAACCAGGAATCTCTAAAAAATATGAAGAGAAAAAGGAAAGAGATGCATTGCTCAAGAAAGTAACTAAAGACAGAAATATTAGAAAATTAGATGAGACGACGCATAAAGTCGCGAAATCCTCAACTGCGTTCTTTACACAGTTGCAAAATCAAGTCAAAAATAAAATTAAAAAGAAGATAATTCGTCCAAGCGAAAAAATAACATAGATTCAGCGTAAAGTTAAAATTGTAAATTATACATTTTTTAAAAATTTTGTTTATACTTAGTAAAATATTTATAAAAAAAAGATTAATAAAAAAAAAACTTTGTAATCTTTTTTTTATTATGTTTTAAAGATTTCATACTCTAATTTTTATTATTGGAAAATCTTATCGTCTCTTGTATTATCATTAATCATAATCGCAAAAGAATATAAAAGTAAAATTATTAAAGAACTTACAGCAACAACACTCCCTTCTCTCTCAATGCATAATGTGTAAGATATGTACTACTCAACATATTTTTTATAGTTTTATTGCATGATATATGTATGTATTTCTAACACCTTTCGTTCTTTAAATCATATTAATTATTTTGCGATTTCTGCGGAGCTATAATATGTGGGTGGATATTGTGCAAAGGAATATATAACAGTGGATAAGGGATTTGTAAAGTAGTCTCTCTGTGATAGAGACGAATCCGTACTTAACATTCACGTATAACATTGATGCCTGTATTTAGGGAGGCCCAATACGTTAGTTATTGTCAAAAGTGATGGTACTACTCTCGCCACGATGTAGGATCATCAAAAAAATCCTGCATATATTTATAATTATATTAGTGAAAAATGTTCCCAATTCATCATGATATGCTGTAATTTCGTTTCATGTGCTCATCAAAATTGCTAAAACACGTACAAACGCGCTAAGTCACACGTGGTTACTTATAAATGCAATTATTCGTATATGTAACATTATCTATATATTTTTTTTTCATTTAAGAATATCTAAAAACGGTATCTTGCACAGAGAAGCAAAGGTGGATTACACAATTTTTTTGTACATTGTCAATGTCTTGAACGATTTTTTGTCGCGTGTCGGTTTATGATGCACTGTTTATAATTACAAAGATCTAAATTAAAATAATTAAGCTAACCTTATGAATCTAACGATAAGCTGGTAGGTATTAAAATTACCGTGATTTGTGTATAGATTTGATTGAGAAGTTTTTAAAAATACTTTTTCTTATTGTTTAGAGTACATTTTCGTTATTTTCATTTTCTTTTTTTTTTTTCTTCGCTAAATATCATCGAATCGCAATGATATTCCAATTAAAATTGTCATGTAAATTAAAATTACGTAGCTTGTATAATAAGCACAGATAAGATATTTACATATCTTTAAAACAATTGCAACAAGGCTATAATATGATATTTTCAAGCTATTTTATTTGATTAAATAGCTTTCACGGACATAAATGAGAATTTATAGAATTTTAATTCTAATATATTTCATCATTCAATTCATCAAAATATAATATCGCAATGCCTTAAAAGCGTAAGTGCGTTGAAAGCACTCTGTATTAATTACTGATATATTTTTATCAGTTTTTCAGCGCATTTTTGATTTCAAATGATAATTCGTGCCGTTTCATATTAATGCCTTGTGCTAAATACCAAACGTGAGTAACACATCTGTGCATATTATAATTCATTTCGAGCCCTAATCAATAATCGCTTGTCATCATGAAGGTACAGTCGCGCTTGATGTCTTAAATGCATTTTCGCTGCGAAATCATGCTCGTCAATTTGAATTTTTCAAACAATCGGAGCGTACGATCGTACCGGTGGCGTCTGATACCCACGATAATGAATCAAACCTTTCGTTTATATACGTATGAATTATATGTAAATAACCCGATAGACTAGGCTGTCCTAATCCCAGTGCGATCGTTTTTTTTTTGCGTAGTCTATAATATGCGGTGCTAAATTGTTAAATCGCGTTTTTCCTTTCTCCGTAAAAGTTCTTCCGGGCTGATGTGTGAGTGCGAAATGCGATACCAAATAGGATTAGTGAATCCCCAAAGTGATACCGAAAGGACCGGTCGGAGAAAGTCCCGAGAAATAATTTCTCTAAAGTAGAAGCTGCTTCTCAAAGGCGTGTCGCCTTTCTCGTTGCTACTCGAAGTTGGTATTGAACATGTTCAGCTCTTCGAAGCCGGACGAGCCGCCCTGATCCTGTAACATCTGCAGCATGTCAGACAGTTCTTGCGGCTGTGTACCAGGTCCGGCCTGTCCAGGATGCGGTGGTTGCGCTTGCGCGGCCACCTGAGCGCCAGTTTGTCCGTCCGGCTGCGGCGTCTGATGCTGTTGATTTTGCCAACCCCACATACCTGCTGATGAATATAAGGACATTTAGTATCTATTCAATTTTACGAATGAAAAATTTGGAGAATAGTTACAGACTCGTCTCGAACTCTTACCAGGATTATTAGGCACTGTTGTGACTGCATGATATTGCTGCGTAGCCGGTGTCCTAGCGCCGCTACTGAGCTGCGTATATGTTGGCCCGCTCGGTGACCTCGATGACTTAATTGACTGTACTGATAGCCTTCTGTCACAGGTTGCTGTTGGAGAACGTAGCAGAATTTTTAGACGTCTGTAACTTCTTTAGGAAATAAAGAAAAAACAGAATTAAATACCTGTCTACCAATCGCCCACGCTTGCGGAGTTGGCGATGTATTAGTCGGTTTCTGAATCCTACTTAGAACCGACGAGGACGCGCTTTGCTGTCCGGGTGATCCATAAGCTATTGGCGATTGTGTCGTCTCATAGCTTTGATAAACATTCTGCGTGCTGGACGGCCTCGGTTGTTGTGGGCCTGTAAAATTGTACGTATTCGACATGTTTGATTTGTGTGATAAATCGTTAATATAATAGAAAAAAATTAACTTATATAATCTTACTGGCTGTAGCTACAGTTGCTGGATGCTGCATCATATGATGCGCGGAATACAGCGAATCTCTAGCAGGATGTCTCTGCAGGGAATAATCTAGACCAGGTTGTCCATATGCAGGTACAGCTTCGCTCTCCGTTGGACCGTCGTTACTTGGAAATGATCTGATTATATATTTTCCATATGAATCAAAAGATATATATAAGATATTGTTGAAATCATAATTTCAAATGTAATAATTTTTAGAGTTGCATTCTTACTTTGCAAGCGTGTTTGTACAAACGATATATTCGACGTCCTCGTTGAATGGATTTAAAAACGCAAATGCCGATGTCCTTAACCACACCCAGTCGCGATTCTTGGCTCGAAATCTGTACATGACAGTTACGACTTGCCCCTTCAGCTTCAACACTAGAAAATACAAGTCACGTGTTAATAATATTAAATAAGTAAATTCGTGAATTGATTTAAAAAAAAAAACGTAAGAGACACTACCTTTTCCATAAAACACACTACCTTGTTCAAAACTTTCTCGCATGTTGTCATATCTTCTGGATGAAAGAATTCGTAGCAGGGATGACCTAAGAGTTCTGATGGAGTGTAACCCAAAATTCCACCGACTCTTTGGTCCACGAAGGTAAATTTACCTTCCGCAGAGTGACGTGATATAAATTCTATTGAAGAAAAAAATATACGTTATAATCAGTTTTTTTTCTCACACGGTGTTAAATAGAAAATGGATAATAAAAACAGATACTTACTTAAAAGGTGCTTACCGTTATTGCTATTAGAACCTGCTAAGTCGCTACTATTTGGTGTGCTAGTGACCTGTAATCGCCCAATGGCGACAAGGCAGCAATGCGTGGTGGCATTCTCGTCCGTGACTACACCGTCTGGACCAGTCTGAACACCTCCTCTGTCACCTAGACCCACACCTGGTACACATGGGGAACAAAATCACCTACAGCGTAAAATCATGTATCAGTCCATGATTTCCCGTTGATCGGCAAAAATGTCTTACATACTAATTCGTTTACTATTATATATACATTAGTACATTAAGATGTAATAATATATTGATATAATATATAGATATTAATTCATGACGAAATTTTTAAAATCCGATCTAAAATTTTCTGGGTACAATTTTAGTGATTTTTCATTCATTCGTTCATTGTGCATGCGCATATGCTTTTATTTCTAAATATTAATATATATGTAAAATTGAGATAAAGTATAATTTAAAATTTGAAAATTGCGAAATCTGCATCTCTGTCATATTATAGATACGTGCGAAAAGCGTCACTGTATTTTTTAACGTAATCGATAAGACTGAATTAACCAGCTGTTGTTACAAAGCTATCGATAAAATAGAAGGAATTGCGCACGTGGTCATGAATATTAAACAAATACGTTAACAACCGGTAACTGCCGTGAGTCTCTATGGACGACTCTCCATTCAGGTTAAACGAATATTTTGAAAACAAGTATTTCAGTCTAAAAAATGTACATGTAGTTAGCAAAAACGTATCATTTTTTAAATTAGTAAATTAGTTTTATTATTATTTAAATAAACCATCAAAAATGGCAAAGTAAAAAAGAAATAACTTGAGAAAACAATTCTTTCGAACATATCTATAATAATAAACGAAATCAACAGAATAATAATCGTGACTCTATGATTTGATGAAAACAAATGTGAAGTAGAACTAAATGTAAAATAAAATATAGATAATATATACAGAAAACGCAGAGGCGGCAGGATTCAGGCGCGATAACTCCAGGCGATTCTTAATTTACAGCACACACGTAGCATACAACGTTCCCGCCGTGTTCCAGGAACGGTTCGTTCGTATTCCTCGCGAGCGCGACGTCTCGTCCGCTTTAAAATAGAAAGCCGAGATCCGCTGTATGTCGTCCCCGAGAGGGAGAGAGAAAGAAATAGAGAGACCGGTAACGGTGGCACATCGTACGATCCAGTGCGCGATTCTCTCTCGAGACATTGAAACCCTGCGCCCGAACTCACCGGTGGGTGGCCAATTCTTGATGTAACCGGTGCAATGCACCACCGCGTAATTTTGACCGTCCCGCGCCGGCGGACCCAGGGAGTTCCTCTGCTTCATACGGTGCAGCCCGTGCGCTGCAGCCATGTCGCCCGTCGTCTGCAGGTTGCCGACCTTCATGCGGCAAATGAAACCTCTTCTCGAACCCATGCATAGTCGCATCGAAGCTGCAGAAATGAGAAAATTCCATCAATCGTGTTTCTACAAGTACGAGTATTTTATTATGTAATCTTGGACGGTTTTATTATGGTGTTTAAGAACACAAATGACTCTGATGTATTATATTTGCATATAAAATTCGAGCTAACATAGAAAGGATCCCGCACCAAATACATAGAACTGGCTTTCGATGGAATTGGTTGTTTCTTTTCATATGTTGTAGCTTATGTCCTGTTGAACAAACGATGTAATAGCCTCAAAGCTAAATATTGGATAGTTACTGAGTTACAGCCAGTCAAGTAACTCGTAGAATTTCTCATATTTGACTCTCTGTAAATCAGTAATTATCTATTATTTAGCTTTAAGCCTATTGCATTTTTTGTTCAACAGATTATAAGCTAGAACATATGAGAACATCAGCTGATCTTACCAAGATTCAATTTTACATGATAAGTACGAGGTTTTTGAACCTATATAAAATCCTAGATGAAATTGAATCTGCTAATTTTCTTACACGTAACTTATGACTTGCTGAATAAAAAAATTAATAGGTTCAAAGCTAAATAATAGATGGTTTCTGATTTATAGCCAGTTAAATACGAAAAATTAGGACTTTGCGAGTTGTCCGACTGGTTGTAACTCAGTAACTATCAAATTATTTAGCTTTGAGGCTATTATATTTTTGTTCAGTAAATCACAAGCTACAATATATGAGAAAACTAGTACGAGAATTTTTGAACCTATATAAATCCTAGATGAAATTGAATTCCAGTCAAATCATCTGATTTTCTCACATGTTGTAACTTATGATTTGCCGAACAAAAATGTAATAGGCTTTAAGCCAAATAGATAGTTACTGATTTACAGCCATCAAACGTGAAAAATTAGGAGTTGTTTGACTAGAGTTGTAACTCAGTAACTATCAAACTCTTTAGCTTGAGGCTATTACATCTTTTGTTCGCAGTAAAACAACGTGAAACAGAAACAAAACAGCCAAGTCCAAAATCCTATGTAGGTATTTGGTGCGAAATCCTTGCATAGAACTGAATGACTGTTTGTTGACTTACACTGGCCCTCCTTTTTCACCGTTCCTGTTTTGAGATCTAGTACTCGGCCGCCGTGTTGCGGTTCCGCCGCGCTGAGCTGCTCCCGCACCTTCTCGGTGTCGTCCGGATGAACCTGCGTATAGAGGCTGGTGCCGTACCAATCGCTCTGGGTGTAGTTCAACACGGGCGCGACCGAGTCGGACACGTAGATGATCCTGCCTGTGTCGCAGCTCACGACGAAGAGGAAACCATCGGCCGCTTCGAGGATCAAATGCTTCAGCTCTTGATCCGTGAGAAAGGAAGGCTTGTAGGCGTTGTCGGTAGCGGTATTTCCGGTCCCTGCGAACACGTTTCATTTCCCTCTGTTCATCAGTGTTCATCGAAACGTGAAAAACGAGACATGAGGATTTATAGGGAATAATCCGGATATATTTTTATTCGGATCCGGGGATTTATCAATAAGCCTTATATAGATGGATTCATTACGAGTGCTATAACGTGTCTCGAATTTATCGATTTTCTTTGATTAATGTATTGTGTTCTCGTGTCAGTAAGAGATTTTTATATATACAAAAAAATAAAATATATATATATATATATATATATATATATACATATATAATAAAATTATTTTATATAGAGGAAAGCATATTAGGAAAATAAATAAATGATAATAAAACTTAAGGCGCAGATTAAACTGATAAAAGAAATATCGATTGAAGTTTTTTCAAGAAGAAAGAAATTCAGCGTAAAATTGATCAAAGAAAGAGTTACTCCTGAAGCGTGATGCAAATCTTGAAATGCACTCCGGCGAATTCCTAAGCAAATCGTGTCCTATCGAATATTGAAATCGAATAACGCCTCTCGATAACACAGCTAGTCGTCTCTTTCGAAGTCGACCTCCGGAGAGACGCGAGGTCCGAACGCCATAGTGTGGTACCAAAAATGAGGACGAGGCACCTCGCCAACGGAGGTAACTATCGAAGTGCAAGATCGGAATTGCAAAGTGGACGGCGGATCCCGAGAGAGAGAGAGAGAAAGAGAGAGGCTGAAAGGAGAAGAAGAGAGAGAGAGAGACCGCTGCGATGCGATCTTTACCTCGATATACGGAGAAATTCCGGGAAGAGATACTTTAACGACTTCCAAACAAGATCTATGGAAGACCCCTGGTGACCTTCGTTACCATTATTTTCCACGTGGTGTATGTCTGTCGTTGGGATACGTTATTGCCGTCGTCATATAGGAAAACCCGATGGTTATCGGATGATATTAATTTTTTACGCGGTTATATAAATGATATATAAATTATAAAGGGTGTATGTAAATATGTGCGAAATATTTTAGGAGATGATTCTTATTTGTTAAAAATTAAAGGGGGTTCCTTATATAAAAATATACTCTTATATCCCTCCCTTTTTTCTCATATTTCAGACAAACTAGAAAAATAAAACTTAATAGATTTTCACTAATAAAAAAGATATTGATTAATGTTAAAAAAATATATAAACTTAATTTTTACATCCTTCTTTAGAAAAGTGTAACTCCTCAGAGAGGGATGTAAGAGTTATGTGTGTTTATATAAGAAACCCTCCTTAATTTTCAACAAAGAATCATCTCTTAAAATATTTCGCACTTATTTAGATATACCCTGTATATTAAATATCTAAATGATTATATAAGTATTCTTAATCATTTAGATAAAATTTAATTGTCATCGTATATGTATTAATAGAAAAAAGATTGCGATGCTTTTTCTTTCGGACGATTTTATGCATTCTAAAATTTGTCGGAAAAAATAATTTTTTTTTGTAATAATTAGATAATAGATAATTTTATATGCAAATATATAAGTGCATAATATAAATGTATAAAATATGTAAAAGTCACAGAACATTTTTTTCTTTTTCTAATAATGCGAGTATTTGAGCAATCAATAAAGAAATCTGAATATGATTAGACAAATAAAAGAGATTCGCTTGAAATCGATGCACACCGTTCGATGCATTCTACATTTGATGGTATGCAATTCCATGTACGATAGCCGTTTAATTGTCATTCCTATGCATCCTAACGCACTACGATCTAACATTGAACAACACTGTCACGACGGTGCATCGAGAATTTTTGCCGGATACCTTCGAAATTACTCAAGTATCACATGGAATATATATATTGTGCTATTATTCTTACACATTATTATCATTATATATAAATATATATTTTATATAAATTATTTATTTATATCTTAATAATAATAATTTATATAAATATAAACAGGGTGTTTCTAAAACTCTGTTAGAGATTTTAAGGATGTATTCTACGAGTCAAAATAAGAAAAAAAGTTTGTATAAATATGGATCCAAAAATAAATTCCTTAAAATCCCTGACACAGTTTTAAAAACACCTTGCATATATGATAATAATATATAGGAATAATATATATATATATATATAATTCTTAAATAGTAAATCGCAGTCCCTATCAAATTTCATGCATTCATTGCATTGTCTAAATCAAGGTATTATTATATCAAGAATATAACAAAGGTAGGAAGAAGTGCTGCTATTTTGCGTATTGAATGACTGAGAAAATTCTCTCTCTTTAAGCATCCACGAGGTGACATCTCGTCAAGGTACAACCTATAAACATAAAAAACCGCTGTTCTCGCGACAGAACGGCGTCGTTCTCGCCTATCGTTCGCGCTGAACGGTTCTTCAGCTTCCTAGAAATTTTTACCGCTGTCATATCCCGGGGTCGTAAAAAATCCGCTTGGTGCTCTCCCTCTCTCTCTCTAGACTCTAGCTAACTGACGTACGCGTCGCGACCGCATAATGCTCGTCCACGTAGCGCATGCACGAGGTTTTCGCGCGCGTAAACGGGTGTCCTTTCCCTCTCTCAGGTGAAAGAGGAGAGACGGACCCTCCGAGAGGAGAGAGATTTGTATGCAGCGGCCCACGTCGTCGGGAAAGAGGAGAAGCGGCTATAAACAACGCGACGCACCACCAATACCTGGGTAGAATCACGGCAGAAGCTCACGCACTATACGCAGCACGCGTCCATCGGGTCCTCTCTCGGGAGGACTCAGGTAGAGATAGCCAGTATCCGGCAGAAACTACCAAAGAGACTGCCGCCGATGGACGGGACCCGCCCGTCATCCACCGGAAGCATATATCGTGCTCACTGCATTCGATATGACTGTCAGAGTTCTCGAAACCTGCCGCGACGTTCGATGCATCCCTATATATATATAATATATAGTTGGAAAAATTGTGTTTTCTTGTTAAAAACGGTCCCCGTGAAAATTTTTGTGGTCAATATTTCATACATTCATGTGTAAATTTGACATATTGCTGTTGTGTTAATTGAACTTAAATGTTAAGTTAAGAATTTACCAAGGCTCTGTAATATAAATATATATATATAAATTGAGAGTGTCAAACTTAAATGTTAAGTTATTTAAATAACTGAAATAAGATGGGAAAATAACACAATACGCATCTATTTTTAATTTTATGAAACAATAAATATGTTATTTTATTAGTGACGAGATTTATCTGTTAAAATTTATAGTAAAAAATGTTGATTTTTATTTTATAAAACAAGTAAGAATGATAAAAGAATTTTACATTAAAACTATGTTAATTACTTTGCATGAAAAGTTTTATTTGAATTCTTTTCTCGAAACTCAACTATCTTTAGCAAAACTGCAAAGTTAATTTTTTTCTGCGTCTGTATTTAAAAATCAAGAATTTTATTTTATGCTTAAAATAATTTTATTTTAATCAATATTTTTATAAAATTCTCTCTAAAAATAAAATACAATTCTTTAGTTGCAAGATTAATGAGAAATACCTAATATTAGCTTTTGTTAATCCGGGCTTCTTTGGAAAATAATTGATTTAATATAAAAACAATTTATAAGAGACTGGTAAAAATTCCATTTTGATAATCTTTACTTTCTGAGAAAAAATTCATAAATATAAGACTATTTTTTTATGCATCTGGGTGTATGTCTGCCCTTAATAAAAATTTATATATAATTTTTTTTTAAACTTTTTATATAATTTTATTATATAATTAATTAAAAAATAAACAAAATTTAATTTTTAATAATTTCTAAAATTTGTATATAATTATTTTTGAAAAAAGATTAAGAAATAGGTGTCTCTAGGTCTCTCTTAAAGTTCGACGTGAAAGGTCTTCGTGGAAAATATATCGGTCTTTTATTCGTCTTGGACCTAACAAGGAAGTCGCGACTGTCGGTCGTATAAGTATCCTAAAAGCACTCGTAAATTCTCGCTTCTGTCAAGACGGAAATCTAACGTTCTCCCGCGGCCGGGAAGACTTAGGCGAGTGTTTTCCACGTAATCGATAGTCGCAGGCAGGTACGTAACATAACATATATATATATATGGCGGGTTGACTATACAGCCGTAATTTAATCGCCTTCATGTTAAGACTCCGAGATTTCGCGTTGCGTCCAAGTTATTGCACCGCTCGTGCCGGATAACTCAAACATCGCTGCAACTTAATCGTCACGTCTCGCGTCGAAAACTGCATCGTTTCTTATCGAAGGCGTCCGATGCAGGGACGAGAGGAAGAAGAAATAATAAAAGAGAGAGAGAGAGAGAAATTTGTTTCAGATATGGAATGTAATTATAACAGATAAAATATAAAAAAAGAAACTTTAGAGAAAAATTAGTTTCTTAAATTAAAAATAAATCATTAATGCGTCGATAAAATGCGAAAGTTAGATTTAGGAAAATATGGTACGAAAGTATTATATATTAATAAAAAGAGAACGAAGGAAGAAAAACTTTTCGGCTGGATTTGCCAACTTTGCGACGCATGTGTTAAGTTCGAGTACTCGAAACTTAAGTTAAATTCAAGTGGTTTATGAGTAGCTTGTAACTTATCGGACGTTCGAGATTTTTCTCTCGACGCCAAAGAACTTTCTACTTTAAATAATCGGAATGGCTTTTCAATATCTTGCCGTCGAATTTTTTCCGACATTTTTATACGACTAAAATGCAATTTTCTAGAACGTACAACAGATGCCGCAGAATTTAAAGTCCGCGATTCTTAAAAACTTATTCTAATTTTTTTAATATTTTGGGCATCAAATATTTTCACCAAAATTCTATCAAAATAAAGTTTACTCGAAATTTTTTTAATCAAGAAGAGAAAAACTGCAACCAATATAAGTATAATATTTCAACTCAGATTCGAAATTCGAAATATTTTGATAAACAAAATAAATGACTTTGATTAGCAAGGATTAATTTAAGATCTCATCGAATCCATCGAATATACAGAGACGATTTTTCCTTAGCAAAAATGTTGAGAAGTCAATAATTTTCGAGTTATAAGCGATTGAAAAAAATGGATTTTTTGAAAACTAAACGTTTTGGAGTCAAAAGTCTATACATAATTACATTCTTCAGTTAATTTCAGGTAGAGTTTACTATAATAAAATTTTAATTTGAGGCTTAGTTATAAAGATACATAATGACAAATATTGGAAAGTTGTAAAAAATGATGACCTTTCTCGACATTTTCGCTGAGGAAAAATCGTTCCCAAATTGACCAAAGAATCCATTCGTGATCGTTGGTCCGTTAGTTAGCGGACCCTGCAGAAACAACCGAGTTTCTGAAGCAAAAGGGAAGAAGAGAAGAAAATCTGATGGTAAATAATTGACTGTAGAATCGAAGAAGGTTCACTCACCTCTGAGAGCTTTCATGTGCGCCACCGCCATCCTCAAGATCGTGAGCTTGTCGGGTTTCCGGGCCAGGGCTGAACAGGTCGGCACCATATCGGAGAGCTCGGTGATGTAGGCGGTCATCTTGTTCCGTCGCCGCCGTTCGATTTCGCAATGGTTCTCCCTGCTGTAAGTCGCAAGACAAAACCGAGGTATGTAATTGCATAGTTCAAGGAATGGAGGACTAAAAAGAATCGACGAAGAAACCTTTTTTTCGCGTCCTGCACGAGTCGAGGAAATAGCGTGAAATAACATTCGCGATACGGTATTCAATTTATGTCGAATTGCGCTTTTTATGTATAATCGCGAACTTCTCTTCGCGTAAACCACGGTAAACTAGAATTCATTCGGCCATATACGAACCACCGAGTGTTTCTTCCAATTAAAATTATTATAATTATCACATAAATCATTTCATCTTATCCTCTAAAATATATGTATATGTACGCGGAGAGAATTTTCTCTTAGCATTTACCTTGAAAATCATAATCATGGAACAATATGGTATTGGAAGAATTTTATACAGGAGTTTCTCTGATTAGATATTTGTCGCAATAAAAAATATTGATATATGTATACATAATAAAATTAATCAAACATATGTTATATCTTATTGCGATAGATATGATTTCAAAATAATTTGTTCTCACTCGACTTGGCGCGAAATAAAGTCATATATTTGTACTCATTAGCAGTCGTCTAAAATTTCTTGCGTCAATTAATCATACTTAACGTAGATGCAATTAAAACTTGGCATAAGACACGCTAGCTGAAATGACGCCAGCTCTATACTATATACGGGCGTCGTTGGCGCCATGATCGATTCGGCCGATAAATTCTCGAGTAATTCATCGAGGCCGGGGGAGGATATCGGGGCGAGACCACAATTTGAGGCCTCCCCTGTTATTACGGCTACCAGAGGGTAACCGCCGTGGATAACGGCCGGGCACGTCTCCCTTTACTTCGCCGTCGACGGCGAGCTGCGTAATCGTCGGCGCGCAAATCGTAAATTTAATGGCATTTAATTCGCGACAATTTTCCAGGAAAGTTCGCGAGGGCAGATCCCGGATCCGCTCACGCAACACGTAAGTCGGATTCCCGGCTCGATGTGCAAATCGCGCGCGACCGGTTAATTCCTTATCGACGCTAGGTTTCGCCAAACCGCTCATCGTTTCGCCAAGTTGGTCTTCGTCGACAATATGTAAGTTAAGCCTTCTTCACGGTCTAGTTCGCGATTTCAATTACCTTCTCTACGTCTGTATCATATGTCGCACAATAATGTGACTGATCTAAAGCAATTTTAAGCGATGCGAGTATTTATGAGACTGGTACAGATGATCCAGAAGCGGAAAATATTTTCCTACTCTGCGTCAAATTCAAGTAAGTGCGCCGCAACTTGTAAGGATCTTAATTGTCGCAATCATCATTTGAATTTATCCTGAAAATAAGAGTTAAAATACAATTCTACCATGTACCTACACAGCAAAATTAACCGAACATATTTTATATCTTATTGTGGTAGATAATAATATTTTTGATTGCGATGAATATTGATCAGAGAAACTCTGAAAAAAATTCTGTCAGTATCATATCCCACTATTACGGTGATTTTCAGGGTAAATTAATTCGCTGAAAAGATTCTCTCTGCGTGTAACTGTAAGATTGAATTAAGAATTAAATTTCCCAACAGAATTATTTTATCGAATAAGTTCTTTATTAAATTGAGTCGTTTGATTGCGGAAAATATTTTCCTATTCTGCGTCAAATTCAAGTAAGTGCGCCGCAACTTGTAAGGATCTTAATTGTCGCAATCATCATTTGAATTTACCCTGAAGATAAGAGTTAAAATACAATTCTACTATGTACCTACACAGCAAAATTAACCGAACATATTTTATATCTTATTGTGGTAGATAATAATATTTTTGATTGCGATGAATATTGATCAAAGAAACTCAGAAAAAAATTCTGTCAGTATCATATCCCACTATTACGGTGATTTTCAGGGTAAATTAATTCGCTGAAAAGATTCTCTCTGCGTGCAACTGTAAGATTGAATTAAGAATTACATTTCCCAACAGAATTATTTTATCGAATAAGTTCTTTATTAAACTGAGTCGTTTGATTGCGAAAAATATTTTCCTATTCTGCGTCAAATTCTAGTAAGTGCGCCGCAACTTGTAAGGATCTTAATTGTCGCAATCATCATTTGAATTTACCCTGAAAATAAGAGTTAAAATACAATTCTACTATGTACCTACACAGCAAAATTAACCGAACATATTTTATATCTTATTGTGGTAGATATTAATATTTTTGATTGCGATGAATATTAATCAGAGAAACTCTGAAAAAAATTCTGTCAGTATCATATCCCACGATTACGATAATTTTCAGGATAAATTAATTCGCTGAAAAGATTCTCTCTGAGTGTAACTGTAAGATTGAATTAAAAATTACATTTCCCAACAGAATTATTGTATCGAATAAGTTCTTTATTAAACTGAGTCGTTTGATTGCGGAAAATATTTTCCTATTCTGCGTCAAATTCAAGTAAGTGCGCCGCAACTTGTAAGGATCTTAATTGTCGCAATCATCATTTGAATTTATCCTGAAAATAGAGTTAAAATACAATTCTACTATGTACCTACACAGCAAAATTAACCGAACATATTTTATATCTTATTGTGGTAGATATTAATATTTTTGATTGCGATGAATATTGATCAGAGAAACTCTGAAAAAAATTCTGTCAGTATCATATCCCACTATTACGGTGATTTTCAGGGTAAATTAATTCGCTGAAAAGATTCTCTCTGCGTGTAACTGTAAGATTGAATTAAGAATTAAATTTCCCAACAGAATTATTTTATCGAATAAGTTCTTTATTAAATTGAGTCGTTTGATTGCGGAAAATATTTTCCTATTCTGCGTCAAATTCAAGTAAGTGCGCCGCAACTTGTAAGGATCTTAATTGTCGCAATCATCATTTGAATTTACCCTGAAGATAAGAGTTAAAATACAATTCTACTATGTACCTACACAGCAAAATTAACCGAACATATTTTATATCTTATTGTGGTAGATAATAATATTTTTGATTGCGATGAATATTGATCAAAGAAACTCAGAAAAAAATTCTGTCAGTATCATATCCCACTATTACGGTGATTTTCAGGGTAAATTAATTCGCTGAAAAGATTCTCTCTGCGTGCAACTGTAAGATTGAATTAAGAATTACATTTCCCAACAGAATTATTTTATCGAATAAGTTCTTTATTAAACTGAGTCGTTTGATTGCGAAAAATATTTTCCTATTCTGCGTCAAATTCTAGTAAGTGCGCCGCAACTTGTAAGGATCTTAATTGTCGCAATCATCATTTGAATTTACCCTGAAAATAAGAGTTAAAATACAATTCTACTATGTACCTACACAGCAAAATTAACCGAACATATTTTATATCTTATTGTGGTAGATATTAATATTTTTGATTGCGATGAATATTAATCAGAGAAACTCTGAAAAAAATTCTGTCAGTATCATATCCCACGATTACGATAATTTTCAGGATAAATTAATTCGCTGAAAAGATTCTCTCTGAGTGTAACTGTAAGATTGAATTAAAAATTACATTTCCCAACAGAATTATTGTATCGAATAAGTTCTTTATTAAACTGAGTCGTTTGATTGCGGAAAATATTTTCCTATTCTGCGTCAAATTCAAGTAAGTGCGCCGCAACTTGTAAGGATCTTAATTGTCGCAATCATCATTTGAATTTATCCTGAAAATAGAGTTAAAATACAATTCTACTATGTACCTACACAGCAAAATTAACCGAACATATTTTATATCTTATTGTGGTAGATATTAATATTTTTGATTGCGATGAATATTAATCAGAGAAACTCTGAAAAAATTCTGTCAGTATCATATCCCACGATTACGATGATTTTCAGGGTAAATTAATTCGCTGAAAAGATTCTCTCTGCGTGTAAATGTAAGATTAAATTAAGAATTACATTTCCCAACAGAATTATTGTATCAAATAAGTTCTTTATTAAACTGAGTCGTTTGATTGCTCTTTCCTGAACGGATGTCCGCTCCGAAATGAGAATAAGGAAAGAGAGACGAAATGATAAAAAATTTGCTCCACGGAATGGGTAGTTTCACAATCAAACTGTAACATCGATATCCCGTCCGGACACATGGAGTGCGAGATTAAAGTTTGATATCGATATGCTGATTGGTTTGCGCGAACCTTTTTTTCCTCGGTGTCTACTCACCGCGACTGGATGGCTGCGATATGAAATATTGAAAAATAAAATTGATCCGTTCAACGGGAAAGGAGGGAGGAGAAAACGTCGTCTGGACGCAATGAAATTTATCACTTATTTATGTATTATACACTTACATATATGTAAAAATTATATAAATATATTTCATATCAATTAATCACTTGCATATTCTCAGAAAAGTTCTTAGTATGCACTTACTGAAATTCAGACTTTATTTCGAAAATCAGATTATTTTTCTACACAGAGAGAATTTTCTCTTAGAATTTATCCTGAAAATCATAGTAATCGTGGGACAATATGGTGTTGGATAATAAATATTATTGCATTTGTACCTCAAAAAATACCCCATCGAAATATTCCGTTCGTCGTTAACTCCTTGGATTTTTGTTAAATAATTTCGAATTTTTGTAGTGTTTAATTTTTCTACATTTCTCATTTCGCGAGTTTCTCTGATTAATATTTACTCTATAATAAAAATATTAATATATTACAATAAAATATATTTGATTAATTTTCCTATGTACATATTAATATTTTTTATTGTGGTAAATATTTAATTCCAATACCATATAAATATATAAATATATATATATTGTCTCACAATCACCATGATTTTCAGGGTAAATTTTAAGAGAAAATTCTGTTCGTGTAGATCTGAATACTAAAATACTTTTGCATAATTATTTAAATATAATGATTCACAAAAAAATCATATAATAACAATGTAAAAATAATGATATAATTTATCTCTATATCTCTCTTATAGTTTTGTCACTTGACGTATTAATGTGTGATTACATAAAAGATAATCAAGAGAACATAATTATTCTTTTAATTGAATATAAATGTCATAAAAAAA